CACCCCGGGCAACGGCTTGGCTCGCACGCCTCTGTCCCTCTGTCGGTCCCTCCAACACAAGCAGCGGGCCTGCCACAGAACCTGCCCGGCGGCTTTTTCGGACTCTGGAGGGCTGGCGAACGACTTCCCCAGACAAGGCCAGTCTGCAAAGGTGGGAACAAGCCTCCACTTCTTCAACAGAAGGCCCGGCCAGAACACGGTTACCTCCCAGAGCTGACGCCAAAGACACGGACCGCCCATGCGCCATGGGTACGCGGAGTGCGGATCATCTCGGATGGCCTGGTACCCGCAGAGGGCACCAACGCACACTCGAAGGGCCACACAAGCACCCAGGCCCAAGGGACCTGCTTCCGAGCGGCCGCAGCGGAGACATCCCTGGGGCGTGGGAGGCGCTCTGCGCCCCCGCCCCCGGCCAAGCCCGTGGTAGTGCAGGGGCACGGAGCCACTTACCGGCTTGAAGATGGCCTCATAGGACTCGTCGTCGATCCCGTCTCGGAGAGGGTAGTTAACGGCATAGTACTTGCCTTTGCCAGCCCCGATATCCTAGTCGAGGGGACAGGAAGGTGAAACCGAGGAACTCGGGGACGGGGACTACGCGGGTGCGGAGAGCCACAGGAGCCGTGCCGGCGTGAGGCAGGCCAGCTCGAGTAGGCTCCAGGGCGACACTGGTGTCCGACGGCAGGTCGAGCGCACACTGGAGTCACCGCTGAGCCAGCCCCTGCCAGGCGCTGAGGAGCAGCCTGCCCATGGCGGCAGATCTACCCGTGCACTGCAGCTGGTGGAGAAGTAACAGCACCCAACAAGCCCTTCTCCCCAGGGAGCTCTACTGCCGCTCCGCCCCCTCTCCTCTCTAGGGAGGTGTAGAGGGAAGCAGCGAGGGAAGGGGAGTTCGTCCAAGGAATCAGCGAACCTCACTTAGCCTAACGCTGCTGACGGCTGAGCTGGGGCTACTTTTTCCCCAAGGGCTACCGACAGGGCGGGGCAGCTGACTTCACTCCTAGCAGGGCAGGAGTTCGGTGAAGGAGCTCTCAAGGGCTCTTACCCTGAGGGGCAGGGTGCGGATCCCAGGGAAGGGGCCTGCCTATTACCTGCTCTGTATTGGAGGCAAAGCCCCGGGTCCTCTGCTGGGGAGAGAAGCTCGGCTCTCAAAGGGGAAGAGGACCTGACAATGCCAAGAACCCTCCAGACAGCCCACAAGAGCCTCAAATCCCAGCTCCAGCTCAACACGCACAGGGTGCCATGGCTGGGGGGGCACGGGCGTAGGAGACGCCTACCCTTCCCTGACACTGGGTCCCATCACGCCCTTCTTCCAGGACAGGGAGGGAAGAGACCCCAGCAGGTGCCCCAGACAGGGTGTGCTGATCTGAATGGCAGAAGAGGCAGGAAGCAGTTCAGGCGTGGTAAGAGCGGCCGGAGGCGGAGGGCGAGCTGGCCGGCTCCTGCAGGGAGTGCTCACCCGTAGGTCTCCCGTTCCTGGGAAGTACTCTCCGTATTTATGAAAGGACACGGTCATGACCCGGTCTGTGGTATAGAAGGCCTCCTCCACGCCATCGCCGTGGTGGATGTCGATGTCGATGTACAGCACCCTCTGGTGGTACCTACGAGCAGAAGGGGATCAGGGGTCTGGGGGCTCTTTGGGGACGGGACGCGCCAAGGGCGCCAGGGCCCAGCTTACCGGGCTGGCTGCCTCCCTCAGGTATCTCTAAGCACCAGAGACGTGGAAACTGGCTGAAGGAAGGTGGAAGAGC